TCTGAAATTAAGTAAAGGTTTATTGTGAACTTACGAATGATTCTTTAAATTTGGGATTTTTAAGTGACGCCTCTAGTTGGGTGAATTCTTCTTCAGTAGTTACGGGGAATTGCAGTTGACTATTGTCAATGGTTGATTTCCCACTTCCAACGGCGGCCACACACGTTGACTTATTCACTGACAACAATTGCGCCATCAATGTTTTCAGCGACTGAAGTTCTGCTTTCATTTCTCCTTTAAAAGAATGCATTTCTCCTTTAAGGGACTGCATTTCCCTCTAATTGACTGCAACTCATTGGCTACTTTATTATCTGATTCACAGTTTTCCTTACTGCAAAGTAAATACTAATGAAAAGTGACATACGTAGTCTGCTGAACTAGTTGCGCTATAGGTGAAGAAGTTGCCACTGGCATTTGTTGAGTGGAAGTGCTGAAGGAGTAATGATATTAAAGGAATGCGTTACCTGGCTATCGGTGACATAACAGTTGCCATGAAATTTGTTGTCGGGTATTTTGAAGGCAAACAAACTTTCTGTGCCTCCACTGCTTCAAGTTCCATTGAGTCGTAAGCGTAAGACGAGTTCTTCGTCTCAACTCTGCATTCTGTGATTAAGCAATAAGAAGAATCTACCTTGGACGTTTGGAATTGGTAAGAGGTAATGTTTCCTCCATATTATCTGAATTGGAGAGTACACTGTATATTCGTTTAGTAGCCTGCAATGTATTCTTGGCTTCTACGAAAGAGTCTAATTACAGTAATGTAAGTAACACGTAAATAGTTACCTAGTTCAGCTAACATTTCACAATCCGTTAGCACCCATTCCGGTCGAGGTCTTACGCAAGCCTCAACTTCATTATCTGTTATACTGCTGTGATACAAGCACAGGTCTTCGGATAGCATCCAACTGCTGGCAGCTATGAATAATTCTTTGGACCCAGCTTTCCGTAAAACAGCATAATTCTTCTTTTCTTTCTGTAAGATATGATATGATATAAACAAAATTTACTGTCTTATTAGTCCGCTTGGCAATTGAATGCAGGAATGCCGACGATTGACACAACTGTCTAAGCAGGTTATGGAAAAGTATGAGGCAAAGGCACCGCAACTACATACCTATCTGTACGCATTCCAAAACACTTACAAGTAATGTCTGACGGACGAATCTCTACCTTGTATGGGCTAACTTTAGAGCACTTCCATATCCCAATGTGGGATGACTTAAATGGTTGCTCGAAGAAATCACCACAATCTGCATAAGGTCTGAATATTAGTCCATCCCTATTTATCTCAGTTATCAGACCCGGTCTACCGTAAGCTATAACTAAGTTATCTGGTGAAGAGGAAGTAATGAGTGTATTCCTAGTATTAACTGTTTGCCTACGTGTATCCACCTCACACTCATTTAAAACTTCATTGCGTACTCCTCCTGATTTGCAGTCGTGGAGCACCTTTTCAGCAAAACGGTTTGCCGCTTGCTTAGCGATTGCATTGTAGGAATGTATTGATCGCCTTATTGTCTGCATATAAGATTCAAATGGGAAGGCCGAAAAAGATTCCAACGGTCCCATTTGATTGACATCTTCGGTCAAGTGTTGCAGACAATGGATGTTATAAACTAGGTGCTTTCTACCATATATAACCTCAAACTCATTTAGAAAGTTGATTAACTCAACTCTGCAACCTTCCAAGTAATTTCTATGAAATCTAGGGTGAGACAAAAGGTACACTGCTAGACTTAATCTTTGGAAGTTTCGATAAATAGCCGGTGGCATTATGTCCTTAAGTACAACTGGTCCTATGTACAGGAGGAACAGGCGACATTCTGTGGCTTTCCACCGACTGACTTCGGTTAGCCCCCTACATTTCCTCGGGAAGTCTTTGGGTGTCATTCCGGAACAGTCTAATATCTTCCCGTCAATATTTCCTAGCATAATACGGTCCACGTGCATCTCTTTCTTTTTAGCTAAGTCTTGCCAGAGACTTACAAGCTTCCTTACTACCCCTAAATACACTAGGTGCATTGGATCAAGGGGGAAACACTTAACCATATCAATGTTTAACTCCTCAAAAATGCAGTCTCCACGGTGGTGACTTGACTGCATCCTTTGACGGAAGCTTTCGTCAGTTCTTATTGGGAAGAAGCCATTTCCAAATATCATTCTTCCATCAACTTTAACTCCAGTGACTGTGCATTTGTCGCAACCTGAACTAGCATTATGACCTACTATATACTTCAAGTCCGCTCTAGCCGGTGCATCACAGATGACGGCTGTTAAACGAACGTTGAAATGCCTATGAAGTCTGGTAATGTGTATGCCTTGACTTAATATCTCCTTCAGTTCAGATACCAAGTCAATGCATAACTCTTTGTAACTGCTGGGCTTGCTAGGACCACCATATATACCTATCAAGAAAACACTGCTTAAAAACGGTGCCGTAATCCTACCTAACAGGGGCCATAACTGCTGGTTAGTAGACTTCGAGATGGACAAACCGTCGACATTCAACTGCAGGTCAATTATGTTGCTGGGAGTTTCAATCACAGACGACATCTCCATGTAGTGCTGCAAACATTTTTTGAGACCGATGTGGCAATACATTCCTTCTCCCAGTAGTCTAGAATCGCATGACCCACACATTCTCAGTACACTTCTAACGGTTTTTGGTAGCTGAGGCAATTTTGCACGGAATATCTCCAAGATTCTGTTAGCGTCTGCTTGTGATATGTTCGTGGTGACTAGGATATTCAGAAGCATATTTGTCAATTCATCACGTTCAGAAGAGACTTGTGTGCACATTTCCGAAGTACTAGCACATGGTGTTACGCTGGTGCACGGTGTCGATGGCACCACCTCGATTTCATTATTCATACTATCAGTGTTCACTGAAGAGGGCTCGACCTCAACAGGAAGGACAGTTTGTGAAACAGCCTCCGTTGATGTCGACGCTGCATTTATCTCGGCCATTATCTGCGCATAATTACGTTTATATATAAACGTCCCCACTTTGTCCGATTGTCTGAACGTGATGAATTGACAAATATGCTTCTGAATATCCTAGTCACCACGAACATATCACAAGCAGACGCTAACAGAATCTTGGAGATATTCCGTGCAAAATTGCCTCAGCTACCAAAAACCGTTAGAAGTGTACTGAGAATGTGTGGGTCATGCGATTCTAGACTACTGGGAGAAGGAATGTATTGCCACATCGGTCTCAAAAAATGTTTGCAGCACTACATGGAGATGTCGTCTGTGATTGAAACTCCCAGCAACATAATTGACCTGCAGTTGAATGTCGACGGTTTGTCCATCTCGAAGTCTACTAACCAGCAGTTATGGCCCCTGTTAGGTAGGATTACGGCACCGTTTTTAAGCAGTGTTTTCTTGATAGGTATATATGGTGGTCCTAGCAAGCCCAGCAGTTACAAAGAGTTATGCATTGACTTAGTATCTGAACTGAAGGAGATATTAAGTCAAGGCATACACATTACCAGACTTCATAGGCATTTCAACGTTCGTTTAACAGCCGTCATCTGTGATGCACCGGCTAGAGCGGACTTGAAGTATATAGTAGGTCATAATGCTAGTTCAGGTTGCGACAAATGCACAGTCACTGGAGTTAAAGTTGATGGAAGAATGATATTTGGAAATGGCTTCTTCCCAATAAGAACTGACGAAAGCTTCCGTCAAAGGATGCAGTCAAGTCACCACCGTGGAGACTGCATTTTTGAGGAATTAAACATTGATATGGTTAAGTGTTTCCCCCTTGATCCAATGCACCTAGTGTACTTAGGGGTAGTTAGGAAGCTTGTAAGTCTCTGGCAAGACTTAGCTAAAATGAAAGAGATGCACGTGGACCGTATTATGCTAGGAAATATTGACGGGAAGATATTAGACTGTTCCGGAATGACACCCAAAGACTTCCCGAGGAAATGTAGGGGGCTAACCGAAGTCAGTCGGTGGAAAGCCACAGAATGTCGCCTGTTCCTCCTGTACATAGGACCAGTTGTACTTAAGGACATAATGCCACCGGCTATTTATCGAAACTTCCAAAGATTAAGTCTAGCAGTGTACCTTTTGTCTCACCCTAGATTTCATAGAAATTACTTGGAAGGTTGCAGAGTTGAGTTAATCAACTTTCTTAATGAGTTTGAGGTTATATATGGTAGAAAGCACCTAGTTTATAACATCCATTGTCTGCAACACTTGGCCGAAGATGTCAATCAAATGGGACCGTTGGAATCTTTTTCGGCCTTCCCATTTGAATCTTATATGCAGACAATAAGGCGATCAATACATTCCTACAATGCAATCGCTAAGCAAGCGGCAAACCGTTTTGCTGAAAAGGTGTTCCACGACTGCAAATCAGGAGGAGTACGCAATGAAGTTTTAAATGAGTGTGAGGTGGATGCACGTAGGCAAACAGTTAATACTAGGAATACACTCATTACTTCCTCTTCACCAGATAACTTAGTTATAGCTTACGGTAGACCGGGTCTGATAACTGAGATAAATAGGGATGGACTAATATTCAGACCTTATGCAGATTGTGGTGATTTCTTCGAGCAACCATTTAAGTCATCCCACATTGGGATATGGAAGTGCTCTAAAGTTAGCCCATACAAGGTAGAGATTCGTCCGTCAGACATTACTTGTAAGTGTTTTGGAATGCGTACAGATAGGTATGTAGTTGCGGTGCCTTTGCCTCATACTTTTCCATAACCTGCTTAGACAGTTGTGTCAATCGTCGGCATTCCTGCATTCAATTGCCAAGCGGACTAATAAGACAGTAAATTTTGTTTATATCATATCATATCTTACAGAAAGAAAAGAAGAATTATGCTGTTTTACGGAAAGCTGGGTCCAAAGAATTATTCATAGCTGCCAGCAGTTGGATGCTATCCGAAGACCTGTGCTTGTATCACAGCAGTATAACAGATAATGAAGTTGAGGCTTGCGTAAGACCTCGACCGGAATGGGTGCTAACGGATTGTCAAATGTTAGCTGAACTAGGTAACTATTTACGTGTTACTTACATTACTGTAATTAGACTCTTTCGTAGAAGCCAAGAATACATTGCAGGCTACTAAACGAATATACAGTGTACTCTCCAATTCAGATAATATGGAGGAAACATTACCTCTTACCAATTCCAAACGTCCAAGGTAGATTCTTCTTATTGCTTAATCACAGAATGCAGAGTTGAGACGAAGAACTCGTCTTACGCTTACGACTCAATGGAACTTGAAGCAGTGGAGGCACAGAAAGTTTGTTTGCCTTCAAAATACCCGACAACAAATTTCATGGAAACTGTTATGTCACCGATAGCCAGGTAACGCATTCCTTTAATATCATTACTCCTTCAGCACTTCCACTCAACAAATGCCAGTGGCAACTTCTTCACCTATAGCGCAACTAGTTCAGCAGACTACGTATGTCACTTTTCATTAGTATTTACTTTGCAGTAAGGAAAACTGTGAATCAGATAATAAAGTAGCCAATGAGTTGCAGTCAATTAGAGGGAAATGCAGTCCCTTAAAGGAGAAATGCATTCTTTTAAAGGAGAAATGAAAGCAGAACTTCAGTCGCTGAAAACAATGATGGCGCAATTGTTGTCAGTGAATAAGTCAACGTGTGTGGCCGCCGTTGGAAGTGGGAAATCAACCATTGACAATAGTCAACTGCAATTCCCCGTAACTACTGAAGAAGAATTCACCCAACTAGAAGCGTCACTTAAAAATCCCAAATTTAAAGAATCATTCGTAAGTTCACAATAAACCTTTACTTACTTTCAGATGATGAAAATGGTGGAAAAATTATCTTTCAATCCGGAGTCTTCGTTGAGAGCGATGCTAAATTATGTTATGGATCCTAAGCTGTCAAGTCGTTTTACAGCATTTGGAACTCCAAAGAAATTGGCTCTCACTAAATGCACCTTTTATGCAGTTATAACGTGTAAGCTTGTTTTATGTAATTATTTCTTTTAGCCGTCATTGTCAGCAAGTTCGTTTCGGCTACAGTTTCTGATGACGACGTTAAGAAAATTCTAAAAAATACTGTAAAGGCATACTTCCATGATATACGTGATCGCGTAGACAAAAGGGATAGCCGGCGAAGAGTAAGTAAACGTTTTCGGTTAAATTAATGCTACTATACTAGCATTGCAGTGCATATACACTGCAAACCCTTTCATGTTATAAATACAAATTAACTAAATTGTTTTTTTATTTTTTAAAGGTTGCAGTTGACAAGAAGAAAAGTGATCAGAGGATCTCTCCTGTAAGTTACCATTTAAATAAGTACATGCTGTAGAAATTAATGAAACTTAAGGTCTTTAAGTGTGAGTATTTCTATTATATAGACAAATAATTTCAATTATACTCATTAACGAAATAAAATTTAAAACCTAAATGAAGACGTTTAGTATTTCATGGATTACTATCTTAATGATTAATTTTTCCTTCTTTTCAGGACACTTCAATGGATCTACTTGACGATGGGGACAATTAGAACAAGTGCAATGAGATATTGAATAACAAGGCTATCATTACAATTGTGTGTATTCATCGCAACTGAAACTGTTCATTAATCCTAAAGAATTGATTTACCGAAATCTTGTAAACTGTTTTCCTTTAACTCCAACAATTCAAATATAATTTTGTCCTGTAAAAAACCTTGATTTGACTTTTGAGTTGTTTAACGTAATCAATACAAAGCTGTAGTAAATGAGTTATAGGGGGGAAATTTACCAGGTTAACGGTGGAATATTCCGGGGACAGTATAAGGAAATAATGCGATTTTTGGGGACGGAATGGCGTAATCTTGGCGACTAAATGGGGGAACTATGCGAATTCCGAGTGCAGATTGGCGAAACTGTGGGGACAGAATGGGGAAAAGGGGAAAAGGGGACAAAGGGGAAAGGGGAAAAAGGGGAGAAGGGGAAAATGGGGTCATGGTGGGGACAACTGGACTTTACAAAATGGGGATAATGGGGACAAAATGGGGAAAAGGGGGAAAATCTTACTATTTCCCCATTTTTCCTCAATGCAATGTCCCCATTTTAGACACGATTTTCCCCATTTTTGTCGATTTGGGATACCTTCTGTAAAACGTAGTGTAATGGCAGGTCAATTGTAGATTACGCTCACGTAATCTCTTCAGGCTTAGTATAGGGCATTTAGTGTTAGACTAGGAGAAAAATAGAAAAGGGAGAACAACGACCACCTACCTGCATGGTGAACGGTTTAAAAGTGCGCGCAAGATGTGTAAGTGTAATAAAACAAACCCTGACATATGTAGCGCTGTAATTTACGTTTACAAAAGAAATTTGGCACTAACTGCACTGATTGGTTACTGAGATTAAAAATTATTCAAGAAGAAGTTTAGATTTTATTAATTTACGAAAAATACAGCCGTTAATTCATGAGTTTTATAAATTTCCAGCCTCGGTGAAGTTTTCCGACGTAAAAATTATACTACTGACAATTTTTCAGTAGTCTACCGAGATAAGTAAAACTTTTCAAATGCTTCCTCATTCTGTCCCCATTATTCGCATTTTGTCCCCATTATCCCCATTTTGTCCCCACCTATCAAATATTGTCCCCATTTTGTCTCCATTATTCCCATTTTGTCCCCATTATTCAAAAGGTTGTCCCCATTCTGTCCCCATTTTCCCCAAAATGTCCCCACATTTGTCCGATTGGGGTGGGAGAATGAACATGCATAAAGTGTTGGAAAGGCGAGTAAAATGAGCAGTTTTGTCCGACTGAGACCAGGGTAAACTGTAAAATAAATTACCCACTTTTCCCCATTTCCTCCGAAATTTTAATGACCCATTTTACCTATGTTAACATAGGACACCAATTGGTGTCCGCTTTTTCCAGCTTTACTCATCCCACTTCCAAAAATGACCCACTTTTACCCATCTTGCCTAATTTTGAACGGAAAATTATCCACGTTCTCACTGGTGTTAACGAAATTTCTTAAAGATGATGACTTTTTTTATTAATAATTCGTCTGGGCTATAAAGACAATTTTACGCATTACTACGAACACAATACAGCAAAATACTGCTTTTTCGCTACAGAAGTCTAAAACTAGTCAAATATAATCTATTTTCAAAAAAACTGAGTGATTATAACGCCTCCATAGGCGTGAAAGCGGTAATCCATACACTGCGCGAAAACATGTGGTTATAGCGTATATCCGCACTCGTCACTTGGGTATTTTAAACGGTCTCCATCAGGTTTCATACAGCTGGAATATCTGTTCTGTCGTCTACCATACTATGCTCAGGAAACGCTTAAAATTACTTTTATTCTTCCCTTTCTAGTAAGCAAAAAAGAAATTCAGTCAAGCAAGTAACTTGTTGTTGTTGTTGTTAATTCAATCAGCATAAATAAAATATAGTGGCTACTGCAATTTTTATCAGCTGGTTGTATGGTTGTATCAAAAATAGGTGACGTTAGTTATTACTGTGCGATATCATATCCTGATAGACCTAAGTCCTGGGCGAATAGCTGGCTCACCCACTAACCTCGATCATTCTAACTTGTTGACCAGATTACCCCTAATACACCCCAAGTAATGAGAAAAGGGTGAATATTATATTAACGCCTAGCCTAATAAAAGGTGCATTCGGAAAGAGTAAATATTAACTAATCACGTCAACCAGATGCAACGGCACCACCAAGCGCTTTCTCCTTTAAATACCAATACCACAATTACATATGTTAACTCCAGCAGGAAAGATATGCAAATTTATTGTTCAAGTGTCTAAGGCTCAACGGGTTCAACTTTCTTCATGTCGTGCTGCACAGTAGCACAAAGAATAAATTACATTACACCATTCTGCAAAGATCATTGAAACTTCTGCAGAAAGGAGAGACAGATAGGCTGCTCAACGTAAGTCAACCCAACTTACAAGCAAACTCAGCAATAAATTTCCCATCAACAAGTCTAACTTTCGAATCCCAAGATTTATCTGGAAGAGTGTGTCTTTTACACTTCTTGAAGGACTCTGAACTCGTTTACTTTTTGATCGCAAATATAAATAACATTAGTGCGCATCATGTGGTAAGCTGGATCAGCAAACACATATCTTAGGCGCATTGCTGACTGACTTCTGATCCTGGCCCATCCCAAGTAGGTAGACGGGATAATAAGAAGTAACGAAACCATACAGCCACCTTCCTTTACAACCACCACGCTCTTACTCCATCAAATTCCAGTCGTTTTAGGTAATGTCATGATTTTCATGAGCGACGACGACAACAAAATAGACACTGAGGATGAGTTAGTTCACGTCCCGTGGATTTCGTGAATCCCCTCGATTTCTTATATAACTCCTCCACTATCCACTATCCAATATATCCAATATCGTTTTTACGAGCTAGTATAAACCAGTTTGATTTCTTTGTGCTTGCTTCTTGACTGTAAGGTATAGGTTCCTGATCTTCGGTAAACTTCTGCGTAGCTCGTCCCGCCACTCGACTGTCGTAGCTTTGGTTGACTCCAAAGGGAGTAGTGCTGGGATTAATTTTATGTGGTTTGTGGTATGAGGTGTGTTAAGACTGTTACTACTGTGAATGGAGTTGATCCTTTCGCCAGTTAGTCCTCCAATATCGTCGACAAGAGAAAAGAGATAGTAATAATAATGCTAATAATGGATATAATTAGTGAAGTTATTCAGACTAAGAGACAGAAACGGAAATAGGAAGGCGTAACAACAGTCAGCTGATTAAGTATGAAGAATAATATATATATATGTAATAATAATAATAGTAATAAGTTGTCAGGAGAGTAAGACGGGAGAGAATGTAAACAAGTAAAACGACGAGTTAAATTGTCTACCCTAAATGGTGTATGCGATTTTAATGGGATAGTCAATTTGGATGCAGTACTTGTGTCTCTGCATGATTGTCCAGCCTTCTCTTAAAGGCGTCCAAAGACGGTACCATAGCTATATCTGCCGGTAAGGAATTCGAGGGGCGGCAAACCCGCAGTGAAAAGAATTGGGAGTGCACCCGAGTCCTTGCCCTCTGGTGAGCTATCCTTCTGGGATTTCCACGTGGGAACCTATACCTACTTAATAGCAGAACACCTTTGTTTAGGTGATTCTGGTCATTCATTATTTTGTAGGCAGTAATCAAATCCCCCCTAAGCCGACGGTAGCTAAGTGTGAACAGGCCTAATTTCTTCAGCCCCTCATCATATGGTTTGCTTCGAGACCAACCACTCCTTTTGTTGCCCGTCGTTGGACTCTTCCCAATAGGTTGGAGTCTCTTCTCAGCATTGGGGGTGCAATAATATTATGCACCTCAAGGTGTGGCCTGACGTATGTTTTGTACAACCCCAGAAAGAGCTCAGGAGTGAGTGCACCTAACTGTCTATGTGTAAAGTGTTTGACCACATATACCCTCGCAGCATTCCCTGTGTAATTTACGATTGTGTTTATTCTTTCCGTTAGAACTAGACCTTAGTCGCGTTCTGACGTTGTGCAGGACACGCTTTCATTGCACAGGGTGTGACTTGCATTCCGTAGTCTACAGGTGCGCAACTTCACTACTTTAAACTTTTTCAGGTTGAAAGTCATACCACTGGCCACCGCCCAGTCTTCCAGAAGGTTTAGATCTTCCTGCAGCCTGTCTGAGTCCTCCGGACACTGTATCGCTCTCCATATATTTGCGTCGTCAGCGTATAGAAGAGTCAGGCAGCTTAGATGGAGTGGTAGATCATTGATAAAAATCAAGAGCATCAGTGGTCCTAGGATAGAACCCTGCGACACTCCTGATGACGAGCTGCCCAAGATGATCGGACTCGGTTAACCTTGGTGCAAAATTGCCTGCCAGCTGGGTAGTCCTTTAACCATAACTGAAGTGGCTCACCTATACCTGCCTGGCTTATTTTATGTAGGAGACGGTTATGGTGAACAGTATCAAATGCCTTCTCAAAGTCTAGGAAGGCCACATGGACTGGTACATTCATATCCCAGCATGATGTCCAGTCGTCCCAAGCTGACAGTAGGTTAGTAACGCGGTATCTGCCTTTTCTGAAACCATGTTGGGCTTCATGTAGTATATTAGAACTATCGAAATATTCCCTGATGTGGTCGTCAATAATACTTTCCAGTACTTTTGCTACCACTAGGAGTAGAGCTACTGGTCTATAACTAGCAGCGTTTTGCCTGTCCCCACCTTTGAAGATTGGAGAAAGGATGGCTTTTTTCCACTCCCTTGGCAGTGTCCCCGAATCCATTGAGTGTTGGAACAAGACACACAGGGGTCTACAGAGAGCTGGCCTGATATCGTCACAACCTGGGGACCACCCAGGTGTGAGTCTGTTATGTACTGGTCGAGTAATTAATAGTCCTGACGCAAGGAGGCGGAAATCAGAAAACCACCGGCTTCACGATGATACTCGTATTTTCAAACAAGGAAAATCAGTGTCACACAAGTGTATGAGTGGATGTTCAAAAATGAACGAATCAATAGACAGTCTTAACATGATTGGTTGTAATGTCATGTGACGACAAGGTCAGACATGTTTGTTTAGTTAGTGGACAGACAAAAACATATTGCCAATTATAGTGGAATATCGATCCATATATACATAGCAAAATATAACAGACTGTCAAAAACAAACACACATTATGTGGATACGTATTACCTCCCCTTTTGAGAAGATTGATGATTAATGGCGTGCTTTCTTGGGGTTTATCTAAAACCGTTCAGTTTGTTGTCGACGTCTGTTGCTTCGTCTGTTTGTTGAGTTTGCGGCTTCTGCTTTGTCTGAGCTGCGCAATTTCGTTTTTCTGTTTTGTCGGTCGTAGGTAAGTTAAAAGTATCTAAGAGTATAACCAGAGGTAGAGATGACTGTGTACTGGTAGGGATATTTGAGGTTCTTGGACGCAACTGATTGTAGTGACGGGTCCATAAATCATTACCAACTTTCACGTCGTACATAACTGAACCACGTCGTGCTGCGATGGAACCTTTATTCCAAGGTTTATGTCCTGCTCGATAGTCGCGGACATAGATAGGGTCACCAACATCAAATTTTCTTCATTCTGAAATGATGCGTCGGCACGTTTGGGTGTCGGTGGTAACACTGAGTTGTGAATCGTTCTAAGTTTGTGTCCATAAAGAGTTTCTGCCGGCGATTTCTTGTTCTGTGTTGACTCATTCGCCGTTGTGCGGTACACCATCAAGAGATATGGAAGTGCTCTAAAGTTAGCCCATACAAGGTAGAGATTCGTCCGTCAGACATTACTTGTAAGTGTTTTGGAATGCGTACAGATAGGTATGTAGTTGCGGTGCCTTTGCCTCATACTTTTCCATAACCTGCTTAGACAGTTGTGTCAATCGTCGGCATTCCTGCATTCAATTGCCAAGCGGACTAATAAGACAGTAAATTTTGTTTATATCATATCATATCTTACAGAAAGAAAAGAAGAATTATGCTGTTTTACGGAAAGCTGGGTCCAAAGAATTATTCATAGCTGCCAGCAGTTGGATGCTATCCGAAGACCTGTGCTTGTATCACAGCAGTATAACAGATAATGAAGTTGAGGCTTGCGTAAGACCTCGACCGGAATGGGTGCTAACGGATTGTGAAATGTTAGCTGAACTAGGTAACTATTTACGTGTTACTTACATTACTGTAATTAGACTCTTTCGTAGAAGCCAAGAATACATTGCAGGCTACTAAACGAATATACAGTGTACTCTCCAATTCAGATAATATGGAGGAAACATTACCTCTTACCAATTCCAAACGTCCAAGGTAGATTCTTCTTATTGCTTAATCACAGAATGCAGAGTTGAGACGAAGAACTCGTCTTACGCTTACGACTCAATGGAACTTGAAGCAGTGGAGGCACAGAAAGTTTGTTTGCCTTCAAAATACCCGACAACAAATTTCATGGCAACTGTTATGTCACCGATAGCCAGGTAACGCATTCCTTTAATATCATTACTCCTTCAGCACTTCCACTCAACAAATGCCAGTGGCAACTTCTTCACCTATAGCGCAACTAGTTCAGCAGACTACGTATGTCACTTTTCATTAGTATTTACTTTGCAGTAAGGAAAACTGTGAATCAGATAATAAAGTAGCCAATGAGTTGCAGTCAATTAGAGGGAAATGCAGTCCCTTAAAGGAGAAATGCATTCTTTTAAAGGAGAAATGAAAGCAGAACTTCAGTCGCTGAAAACATTGATGGCGCAATTGTTGTCAGTGAATAAGTCAACGTGTGTGGCCGCCGTTGGAAGTGGGAAATCAACCATTGACAATAGTCAACTGCAATTCCCCGTAACTACTGAAGAAGAATTCACCCAACTAGAGGCGTCACTTAAAAATCCCAAATTTAAAGAATCATTCGTAAGTTCACAATAAACCTTTACTTACTTTCAGATGATGAAAATGGTGGAAAAATTATCTTTCAATCCGGAGTCTTCGTTGAGAGCGATGCTAAATTATGTTATGGATCCTAAGCTGTCAAGTCGTTTTACAGCATTTGGAACTCCAAAGAAATTGGCTCTCACGAAATGCACCTTTTATGCAGTTATAACGTGTAAGCTTGTTTTATGTAATTATTTCTTTTAGCCGTCATTGTCAGCAAGTTCGTTTCGGCTACAGTTTCTGATGACGACGTTAAGAAAATTCTAAAAAATACTGTAAAGGCATACTTCCATGATATACGTGATCGCGTAGACAAAAGGGATAGCCGGCGAAGAGTAAGTAAACGTTTTCGGTTAAATTAATGCTACTATACTAGCATTGCAGTGCATATACACTGCAAACCCTTTCATGTTATAAATACAAATTAACTAAATTGTTTTTTTATTTTTTAAAGGTTGCAGTTGACAAGAAGAAAAGTGATCAGAGGATCTCTCCTGTAAGTTACCATTTAAATAAGTACATGCTGTAGAAATTAATGAAACTTACGGTCTTTAAGTGTGAGTATTTCTATTATATAGACAAATAATTTCAATTATACTCATTAACGAAATAAAATTTAAAACCTAAATGAAGACGTTTAGTATTTCATGGATTACTATCTTAATGATTAATTTTTCCTTCTTTTCAGGACACTTCAATGGATCTACTTGACGATGGGGACAATTAGAACAAGTGCAATGAGATATTGAATAACAAGGCTATCATTACAATTGTGTGTATTCATCGCAACTGAAACTGTTCATTAATCCTAAAGAATTGATTTACCGAAATCTTGTAAACTGTTTTCCTTTAACTCCAACAATTCAAATATAATTTTGTCCTGTAAAAAACCTTGATTTGACTTTTGAGTTGTTTAACGTAATCAATACAAAGCTGTAGTAAATGAGTTATAGGGGGGAAATTTACCAGGTTAACGGTGGAATATTCCGGGGACAGTATAAGGAAATAATGCGATTTTTGGGGACGGAATGGCGTAATCTTGGCGACTAAATGGGGGAACTATGCGAATTCCGAGTGCAGATTGGCGAAACTGTGGGGACAGAATGGGGTAATTGTGGGGACAGAATGGGGAAAATGGGGTAATAGTGGGGACAAAGGGGATAATAGTGGGGACAGAATGGGGAAAATGGGGACGAAGTGGGGACAGAAAGGGGAAAACGGGGACAAAGTGGGGACAGAACGGGGACGAAGTGGGGACAGAAAGGGGAAAACGGGGACAGAATGGGACAAGTGGGGACAGAATGGGGAAAATGGGGTCATGGTGGGGACAACTGGACTTTACAAAATGGGGATAATGGGGACAAAATGGGGAGAATGGGGAAAAGGGGGAAAATCTTACTATTTCCCCATTTTTCCTCAATGCAATGTCCCCATTTTAGACACGATTTTCCCCATTTTTGTCGATTTGGGATACCTTCTGTAAAACGTAGTGTAATGGCAGGTCAATTGTAGATTACGCTCACGTAATCTCTTCAGGCTTAGTATAGGGCATTTAGTGTTAGACTAGGAGAAAAATAGAAAAGGGAGAACAACGACCACCTACCTGCATGGTGAACGGTTTAAAAGTGCGCGCAAGATGTGTAAGTGTAATAAAACAAACCCTGACATATGTAGCGCTGTAATTTACGTTTACAAAAGAAATTTGGCACTAACTGCACTGATTGGTTACTGAGATTAAAAATTATTCAAGAAGAAGTTTAGATTTTATTAATTTACGAAAAATACAGCCGTTAATTCATGAGTTTTATAAATTTCCAGCCTCGGTGAAGTTTTCCGACGTAAAAATTATACTACTGACAATTTTTCAGTAGTCTACCGAGATAAGTAAAACTTTTCAAATGCTTCCTCATTCTGTCCCCATTATTCGCATTTTGTCCCCATTATCCCCATTTTGTCCCCACCTATCAAATATTGTCCCCATTTTGTCTCCATTATTCCCATTTTGTCCCCATTATTCAAAAGGTTGTCCCCATTCTGTCCCCATTTTCCCCAAAATGTCCCCACATTTGTCCGATTGGGGTGGGAGAATGAACATGCATAAAGTGTTGGAAAGGCGAGTAAAATGAGCAGTTTTGTCCGACTGAGACCAGGGTAAACTGTAAAATAAATTACCCACTTTTCCCCATTTCCTCCGAAATTTTAATGACCCATTTTACCTATGTTAACATAGGACACCAATTGGTGTCCGCTTTTTCCAGCTTTACTCATCCCACTTCCAAAAATGACCCACTTTTACCCATCTTGCCTAATTTTGAACGGAAAATTATCCACGTTCTCACTGGTGTTAACGAAATTTCTTAAAGATGATGACTTTTTTTATTAATAATTCGTCTGGGCTATAAAGACAATTTTACGCATTACTACGAACACAATACAGCAAAATACTGCTTTTTCGCTACAGAAGTCTAAAACTAGTCAAATATAATCTATTTTCAAAAAAACTGAGTGATTATAACGCCTCCATAGGCGTGAAAGCGGTAATCCATACACTGCGCGAAAACATGTGGTTATAGCGTATATCCGCACTCGTCACTTGGGTATTTTAAACGGTCTCCATCAGGTTTCATACAGCTGGAATATCTGTTCTGTCGTCTACCATACTATGCTCAGGAAACGCTTAAAATTACTTTTATTCTTCCCTTTCTAGTAAGCAAAAAAGAAATTCAGTCAAGCAAGTAACTTGTTGTTGTTGTTGTTAATTCAATCAGCATAAATAAAATATAGTGGCTACTGCAATTTTTATCAGCTGGTTGTATGGTTGTATCAAAAATAGGTGACGTTAGTTATTACTGTGCGATATCATATCCTGATAGACCTAAGTCCTGGGCGAATAGCTGGCTCACCCACTAACCTCGATCATTCTAACTTGTTGACCAGATTACCCCTAATACACCCCAAGTAATGAGAAAAGGGTGAATATTATATTAACGCCTAGCCTAATAAAAGGTGCATTCGGAAAGAGTAAATATTAACTAATCACGTCAACCAGATGCAACGGCACCACCAAGCGCTTTCTCCTTTAAATACCAATACCACAATTACATATGTTAACTCCAGCAGGAAAGATATGCAAATTTATTGTTCAAGTGTCTAAGGCTCAACGGGTTCAACTTTCTTCATGTCGTGCTGCACAGTAGCACAAAGAATAAATTACATTACACCATTCTGCAAAGATCATTGAAACTTCTGCAGAAAGGAGAGACAGATAGGCTGCTCAACGTAAGTCAACCCAACTTACAAGCAAACTCAGCAATAAATTTCCCATCAACAAGTCTAACTTTCGAATCCCAAGATTTATCTGGAAGAGTGTGTCTTTTACACTTCTTGAAGGACTCTGAACTCGTTTACTTTTTGATCGCAAATATAAATAACATTAGTGCGCATCATGTGGTAAGCTGGATCAGCAAACACATATCTTAGGCGCATTGCTGACTGACTTCTGATCCTGGCCCATCCCAAGTAGGTAGACGGGATAATAAGAAGTAACGAAACCATACAGCCACCTTCCTTTACAACCACCACGCTCTTACTCCATCAAATTCCAGTCGTTTTAGGTAATGTCATGATTTTCATGAGCGACGACGACAACAAAATAGACACTGAGGATGAGTTAGTTCACGTCCCGTGGATTTCGTGAATCCCCTCGATTTCTTATATAACTCCTCCACTATCCACTATCCAATATATCCAATATCGTTTTTACGAGCTAGTATAAACCAGTTTGATTTCTTTGTGCTTGCTTCTTGACTGTAAGGTATAGGTTCCTGATCTTCGGTAAACTTCTGCGTAGCTCGTCCCGCCACTCGACTGTCGTAGCTTTGGTTGACTCCAAAGGGAGTAGTGCTGGGATTAATTTTATGTGGTTTGTGGTATGAGGTGTGTTAAGACTGTTACTACTGTGAATGGAGTTGATCCTTTCGCCAGTTAGTCCTCCAATATCGTCGACAAGAGAAAAGAGATAGTAATAATAATGCTAATAATGGATATAATTAGTGAAGTTATTCAGACTAAGAGACAGAAACGGAAATAGGAAGGCGTAACAACAGTCAGCCGATTAAGTATGAAGAATAATATATATATATATGTAATAATAATAATAGTAATAAGTTGTCAGGAGAGTAAGACGGGAGAGAATGTAAACAAGTAAAACGACGAGTTAAATTGTCTACCCTAAATGGTGTATGCGATTTTAATGGGATAGTCAATTTGGATGCAGTACTTGTGTCTCTGCATGATTGTCCAGCCTTCTCTTAAAGGCGTCCAAAGACAGTACCATAGCTATATCTGCCGGTAAGGAATTCGAGGGGCGGCAAACCCGCAGTGAAAAGAATTGGGAGTGCACCCGAGTCCTTGCCCTCTGGTGAGCTATCCTTCTGGGATTTCCACGTGGGAACCTATACCTACTTAATAGCAGAACACCTTTGTTTAGGTGATTCTGGTCATTCATTATTTTGTAGGCAGTAATCAAATCCCCCCTAAGCCGACGGTAGCTAAGTGTGAACAGGCCTAATTTCTTCAGCCCCTCATCATATGGTTTGCTTCGAGACCAACCACTCCTTTTGTTGCCCGTCGTTGGACTCTTCCCAATAGGTTGGAGTCTCTTCTCAGCATTGGGGGTGCAATAATATTATGCACCTCAAGGTGTGGCCTGACGTATGTTTTGTACAACCCCAGAAAGAGCTCAGGAGTGAGTGCACCTAACTGTCTATGTGTAAAGTGTTTGACCACATATACCCTCGCAGCATTCCCTGTGTAATTTACGATTGTGTTTATTCTTTCCGTTAGAACTAGACCTTAGTCGCGTTCTGACGTTGTGCAGGACACGCTTTCATTGCACAGGGTGTGACTTGCATTCCGTAGTCTACAGGTGCGCAACTTCACTACTTTAAACTTTTTCAGGTTGAAAGTCATACCACTGGCCACCGCCCAGTCTTCCAGAAGGTTTAGATCTTCCTGCAGCCTGTCTGAGTCCTCCGGACACTGTATCGCTCTCCATATATTTGCGTCGTCAGCGTATAGAAGAGTCAGGCAGCTTAGATGGAGTGGTAGATCATTGATAAAAATCAAGAGCATCAGTGGTCCTAGGATAGAACCCTGCGACACTCCTGATGACGAGCTGCCCAAGATGATCGGACTCGGTTAACCTTGGTGCAAAATTGCCTGCCAGCTGGGTAGTCCTTTAACCATAACTGAAGTGGCTCACCTATACCTGCCTGGCTTATTTTATGTAGGAGACGGTTATGGTGAACAGTATCAAATGCCTTCTCAAAGTCTAGGAAGGCCACATGGACTGGTACATTCATATCCCAGCATGATGTCCAGTCGTCCCAAGCTGACAGTAGGTTAGTAACGCGGTATCTGCCTTTTCTGAAACCATGTTGGGCTTCATGTAGTATATTAGAACTATCGAAATATTCCCTGATGTGGTCGTCAATAATACTTTCCAGTACTTTTGCTACCACTAGGAGTAGAGCTACTGGTCTATAACTAGCAGCGTTTTGCCTGTCCCCACCTTTGAAGATTGGAGAAAGGATGGCTTTTTTCCACTCCCTTGGCAGTGTCCCCGAATCCATTGAGTGTTGGAACAAGACACACAGGGGTCTACAGAGAGCTGGCCTGATATCGTCACAACCTGGGGACCACCCAGGTGTGAGTCTGTTATGTACTGGTCGAGTAATTAATAGTCCTGACGCAAGGAGGCGGAAATCAGAAAACCACCGGCTTCACGATGATACTTGTATTTTCAAACAAGGAAAATCAGTGTCACACAAGTGTATGAGTGGATGTTCAAAAATGAACGAATCAATAGACAGTCTTAACATGATTGGTTGTAATGTCATGTGACGACAAGGTCAGACATGTTTGTTTAGTTAGTGGACAGACAAAAACATATTGCCAATTATAGTGGAATATCGATCCATATATACATAGCAAAATATAACAGACTGTCAAAAACAAACGCACATTATGTGGATACGTATTACCTCCCCTTTTGAGAAGATTGATGATTAATGGCGTGCTTTCTTGGGGTTTATCTAAAACCGTTCAGTTTGTTGTCGACGTCTGTTGCTTCGTCTGTTTGTTGAGTTTGCGGCTTCTGCTTTGTCTGAGCTGCGCAATTTCGTTTTTCTGTTTTGTCGGTCGTAGGTAAGTTAAAAGTATCTAAGAGTATAACCAGAGGTAGAGATGACTGTGTACTGGTAGGGATATTTGAGGTTCTTGGACGCAACTGATTGTAGTGACGGGTCCATAAATCATTACCAACTTTCACGTCGTACATAACTGAACCACGTCGTGCTGCGATGGAACCTTTATTCCAAGGTTTATGTCCTGCTCGATAGTCGCGGACATAGATAGGGTCACCAACATCAAATTTTCTTCATTCTGAAATGATGCGTCGGCACGTTTGGGTGTCGGTGGTAACACTGAGTTGTGAATCGTTCTAAGTTTGTGTCCATAAAGAGTTTCTGCCGGCGATTTCTTGTTCTGTGTTGACTCATTCGCCGTTGTGCGGTACACCATCAAGAGATATGGAAGTGCTCTAAAGTTAGCCCATACAAGGTAGAGATTCGTCCGTCAGACATTACTTGTAAGTGTTTTGGAATGCGTACAGATAGGTATGTAGTTGCGGTGCCTTTGCCTCATACTTTTCCATAACCTGCTTAGACAGTTGTGTCAATCGTCGGCATTCCTGCATTCAATTGCCAAGCGGACTAATAAGACAGTAAATTTTGTTTATATCATATCATATCTTACAGAAAGAAAAGAAGAATTATGCTGTTTTACGGAAAGCTGGGTCCAAAGAATTATTCATAGCTGCCAGCAGTTGGATGCTATCCGAAGACCTGTGCTTGTATCACAGCAGTATAACAGATAATGAAGTTGAGGCTTGCGTTAGACCTCGACCGGACTGGGTGCTAACGGATTGTGAAATGTTAGCTGAACTAGGTAACTATTTACGTGTTACTTACATTACTGTAATTAGACTCTTTCGTAGAAGCCAAGAATACATTGCAGGCTACTAAACGAATATACAGTGTACTCTCCAATTCAGATAATATGGAGGAAACATTACCTCTTACCAATTCCAAACGTCCAAGGTAGATTCTTCTTATTGCTTAATCACAGAATGCAGAGTTGAGACGAAGAACTCGTCTTACGCTTACGACTCAATGGAACTTGAAGCAGTGGAGGCACAGAAAGTTTGTTTGCCTTCAAAATACCCGACAACAAATTTCATGGCAACTGTTATGTCACCGATAGCCAGGTAACGCATTCCTTTAATATCATTACTCCTTCAGCACTTCCACTCAACAAATGCCAGTGGCAACTTCTTCACCTATAGCGCAACTAGTTCAGCAGACTACGTATGTCACTTTTCATTAGTATTTACTTTGCAGTAAGGAAAACTGTGAATCAGATAATAAAGTAGCCAATGAGTTGCAGTCAATTAGAGGGGAAATGCAGTCCCTTAAAGGAGAAATGCATTCTTTTAAAGGAGAAATGAAGGCAGAACTTCAGTCGCTGAAAACATTGATGGCGCAATTGTTGTCAGTGAATAAGTCAACGTGTGTGGCCGCCGTTGGAAGTGGGAAATCAACCATTGACAATAGTCAACTGCAATTCCCCGTAAATACTGAAGAAGAATTCACCCAACTAGAGGCGTCACTTAAAAATCCCAAATTTAAAGAATCATTCGTAAGTTCACAATAAACCTTTACTTACTTTCAGATGATGAAAATGGTGGAAAAATTATCTTTCAATCCGGAGTCTTCGTTGAGAGCGATGCTAAATTATGTTATGGATCCTAAGCTGTCAAGTCGTTTTACAGCATTTGGAACTCCAAAGAAATTGGCTCTCACGAAATGCACCTTTTATGCAGTTATAACGTGTAAGCTTGTTTTATGTAATTATTTCTTTTAGCCGTCATTGTCAGCAAGTTCGTTTCGGCTACAGTTTCTGATGACGACGTTAAGAAAATTCTAAAAAATACTGTAAAGGCATACTTCCATGATATACGTGATCGCGTAGACAAAAGGGATAGCCGGCGAAGAGTAAGTAAACGTTTTCGGTTAAATTAATGCTACTATACTAGCATTGCAGTGCATATACACTGCAAACCCTTTCATGTTATAAATACAAATTAACTAAATTGTTTTTTTATTTTTTAAAGGTTGCAGTTGACAAGAAGAAAAGTGATCAGAGGATCTCTCCTGTAAGTTACCATTTAAATAAGTACATGCTGTAGAAATTAATGAAACTTAAGGTCTTTAAGTGTGAGTATTTCTATTATATAGACAAATAATTTCAATTATACTCATTAACGAAATAAAATTTAAAACCTAAATGAAGACGTTTAGTATTTCATGGATTACTATCTTAATGATTAATTTTTCCTTCTTTTCAGGACACTTCAATGGATCTACTTGACGATGGGGACAATTAGAACAAGTGCAATGAGATATTGAATAACAAGGCTATCATTACAATTGTGTGTATTCATCGCAACTGAAACTGTTCATTAATCCTAAAGAATTGATTTACCGAAATCTTGTAAACTGTTTTCCTTTAACTCCAACAATTCAAATATAATTTTGTCCTGTAAAAAACCTTGATTTGACTTTTGAGTTGTTTAACGTAATCAATACAAAGCTGTAGTAAATGAGTTATAGGGGGGAAATTTACCAGGTTAACGGTGGAATATTCCGGGGACAGTATAAGGAAATAATGCGATTTTTGGGGACGGAATGGCGTAATCTTGGCGACTAAATGGGGGAACTATGCGAATTCCGAGTGCAGATTGGCGAAACTGTGGGGACAGAATGGGGTAATTGTGGGGACAGAATGGGGAAAATGGGGTAATAGTGGGGACAAAGGGGATAATAGTGGGGACAGAATGGGGAAAATGGGGACGAAGTGGGGACAGAAAGGGGAAAACGGGGACAAAGTGGGGACAGAACGGGGACGAAGTGGGGACAGAACGGGGACGAAGTGGGGACAGAAAGGGGAAAACGGGGACAGAATGGGGACGAAGTGGGGACAGAATGGGGAAAATGGGGTCATGGTGGGGACAACTGGACTTTACAAAATGGGGATAATGGGGACAAAATGGGGAGAATGGGGAAAAGGGGGAAAATCTTACTATTTCCCCATTTTTCCTCAATGCAATGTCCCCATTTTAGACACGATTTTCCCCATTTTTTCGATTTGGGACTGCAGAGGGACCTAAGTTTGCTCTGGAGTCTATTACGTTTAATGTGGATTTTGGATCTTTGTAAACCCAAGTAACGAAACTTTAATATATTCTTCCTGTAACTAATCTGATTTGGTATTTTATTTTCTATTTGAATTTGGGATACTACGCTAACAGAGTAAAAGGTCCTTCACATATTCACCCTATATATGGGTAAGTTAAAAGATAGCATCCATCAGGTGAACTTGAACATTCAGTACGAAGAGGCTTCTAAGTTTGCTGATGACTTGCGAATTCATGAATTTGTAGGTACATTCGCGAATACTCAGACAGCCTCCTGGGGCAATTACCGGTTACCTTAATCTCTAATCCGGACATAATCCTGCCTTTAACACAGCTCATAGTTCTGACACTAACATAACCCTGATCCTGACCTATATGTAACCTTTGAATGACCTTGGGTTTAACCCCAGTCGTAGAAAATTTTTGAATGTAGTCAGTAACAAACTTTAGAAGCAAAACATAGACTGCATTTATCACTAATGACATGATCAATCACCCCAAGGTCACCCGAAGAGATGGTTCTGTTCCCTGTCCTAACTTCCAGCCATCTACACATTTAGCACTGTTTCGCGAGAGGTGGTTCAGTGGTGTCAGGGACATTAAGAACCGTGAAGCTGTTCAGGGAATTACTAGACATATTTAAATCAGAAAATATTTAAAACCTTAAAACAATGTTAGTAATTCACTTCCAGGAATGCAGTGAACAAAGACTTAAAATTTCACTGACTGCGAAATAGCTACCTCTTTTTTAAAGAAAGAAGGACAAAGCACACTTGTGTTAAACAATACATTCATGCACATGTTCTTTCTTCTTAAAGATTCGCATCACATTTCTATGGTGATTGACAATTTCTGTCTCTGTATTGTTTAAATACTTACTGTTGATTGTTAATATGTTTCATATATGAATTGCATAATAATTCCGCTAAATACAAATTCCTGAGTTCTGCCCTCTCTGTGTTTTGATTGGATTAGTGTAATTCGGTCATCTCGAAATACTAATACTACGACTACAATAAATTACTACAATTTCATTTAAAATGTGCAAATATTAGCTGAAATGAGTATATATGCATATGTGTATTCATACATAACAGTTATTTTTTATATGTATACGACTGAACTACAGATAATTTACTCTTCAAAAAAAAGAAGAGCAACAGAAACAAAAATACTTGGAGAGAAAAAAAGGTAACAGTACGGGTAGTATTAGTAATAGTAATGGTAAAAGTGATGGTGAATGACATTCCCGATGAACAAGACGTTTTATTCGCCTGCGTTTTCTTTAAGCATTGCTACAAATTCTACAAATTTAAAAATAAGAAAGTATATTAACTTTTTAAAAGAAAAATACAGTTTTGAATATAGCAAAAATATTCATTCAGACATGTATGAAACACAAAATAATTGAGCAAAGAATATCCTTTCCGATAAACTCCTCTTCCGGCTCTACAATTATATACATATATGTTTATATACACAGAATATTCTAGATTAGTAGTCAATAACAATATTAGTGTTTTTTTCAAATAATATCGATTTGTAAAGTAAGATCACAATGGAATTACAATACATCAAAGATGCGTAAATTATAATAAGAATAATAGTAAAGATATAGTAGCAAATAGAATATCAACTAAAATTAGTAAAATTACACAAAAATTCATGATCATTCAAACTTAGATGGGCAAGGTAATGATAATGTCTGAACTAACTTCTTTTGGATGCACAAATTAGGCCTCTTAATATGGATTCCAACAGCCAGCCTCAGGAATATTTAGTAGTCGAACTCTTAAGGCAAAATTGAGATTCGTAGGTATGCGATAAATGACCCTGAAAGCATAGTTAACGTCAATCTTGTGTTCTGTATCCACAAGATGAGATAGAATAGCGCTCCGAATAGATTTGGTTTGTCCTTTGCTAACCCACTGTGCGGGGTGATATTCGGAAATTCGACCAGAAACATGCCTAATTGTACGGCCTATGTAACTGGCTCGACAGAAGCAGTTAAATTGCTAGATACACATTTATTTTCTTTCACGTTCCCCAGTGGAACATAGGGTTTCAAGCTGATGGCTTGAAGTTTCTGTAGCAGTGTTCGTTTTACAGGATGGGGTTGCTAGCCAGCCTCATGCCCAACCTTTCCTCTTTACTAGCATTATTTCTGGCTCAGCAGGGTAAAGGAGTGCTTTGTTGGTCGGGGATCGAACCCCGGACCATGTTTATGGTCGGCGAGAGTCCCAACCGCTGTGCCACCGACGCAAGATGCACATGGAAGAGGAGAAATTAGACAGTTTGTCTTTTACTCTCGAACACATAAGAGGAGTGGTTTTGAAGTAAGTAATTCGGCAGCAGGAAATACTCTTCGCTTTACCGCATTTCTAAGGCACTGTGCTAGTATCTCGCTGATGTTGTCCCCAAGGAACTGCATTTGTAAGAATGAATGGTTACCACTGTTATTTATTGAAGTTTTTCTATGTCTCCGGATGATTGGCTTACATTCGACCGAAATGTTTAGTCATTGCTGACCTGTTGTCTACTAGTATAGATGCTACGATGACGTCTGAGGGTTAACATGACGATGGTCTCAGTAGAAACGCCTAATGACCCAATCGTCTATTTGACAACGCCTAATTGTTTGAAATGGTGGGTGTCGGGTTTGACTTTTATTGACAACATTATCACCCATTGGTGGTGTAGGCACATCAAGTTGATGAATCTGGAATACGACGAGATGCGTAACCTAGATTCCATGTTATTCCCATTTCATTTGGTGAGTTTAAGTACGCGCGAAGACAGCTAATTCAGATCATGCTGTGATCTTCATTTTCTCTCACTATTATTACTGAAGGTAGCTACGAAGCATTACTTGTTGTTCAGAGTGGTCTTAGTTGATCCCACCAATTAATAGTATGTACAGTCATCCAGTTTCTTAGTGTTATCTGTTAAAAAATGTGTTCAGTTAGTGAGAATGCCTCAAAACTCGGAATTCAATACTCATTCCTCTTTACATTCGGTTAATGAAGTGTAATGTTTCACCAACAGTCTCATTAATAATAATAATAATAATAATTCCTTGTCAGCACATGAACATAATCAAATATTTATGATGCTTGGTTCAAAAGAATAAAATGAATAAATACAATTTAGAAAAACCTCCCAACGCAGACACTCGTCCTCTACAAGTCCAACTCATTATTTTTTCAAATATTAGAACAAGACATATAAGCGAACAATATTGTTTTTTTTTCAATTAGATCTTCTTCAGGCTTTACTCTAATTTACATAGAATTATATATATATATATATATATATATATATATATATATATATATATATATATATATATATATATATAAAATTTTAACCAATGACGGTGATTCTGTGGATCAAATAATAATAACAATAATGTGGTAAATGTTTTGAACGAAATTAATAACGATGATTATAATGATAACAAAATATTGATATTGCCGAGATTGAAAATGGTCCATTGAAACAAGTAATAGATAAAAATATTTCTTATTTTCGCTATGTTGATGATACATTTATTATTCTCGATGTGAAAGTTGACAAGAATGAAATGTTAAAAAAGTTTAATGATGCACATCCATCGGTCATCTTCACTTGTGAAGAAGAACATGATGGTAGACTACATTCCTTTGACGTTCAATTGAGCAGAAGAGAGGATGGTTCACTCAAAAGAGATGTCTATAGAAAACCTACATATGTAGGACAATATACACATTTCCTCAGTTTTGTACCAATCCGATACAAAGTCAATTTGGTCAGATGCCGCCTCACGAATAGAGCAAGACGTATCTGTACAGATGACTTCCTATAAAATGAGTTAGGATATATCCAAAATACGCTGGTCCGAATGGTTATCCCGATAGATTTGTAAGGAGACACATGAGCACCAGGTACAATAAAGAGAAACTGACAACACTTAGAAAGAAACAACTGCTCATGAAACTGCGATTGAATGGGAACGTGGCTAGTGAAGTCTTACATCAGAGATTATCGAGAGCGATAAAACGGACTTATACTTCTGTCACCCTCTGTTTGTCATTGTCCAGCCGACCAATTTTGATTGTTCAAGTGAAAGACAAGCTACCTAGCTGTGCCACTTCTATGTGTATCTACAAATTTAGTTGCTCTTTTGGAGAGAGCTAGCTGTATAGGGCGAAAAACTAGATAGCTTAACAAACGCATTAATGAGCATCTTCCTTCATGGTTCGGAAGAGGTCAAATAAAATCTATAAGAAGCTATATTTTGGCTCATTTGATTGATATCGGTGGCCAAGTAGACATAAATAGTGTCTTCAAAGTTATCCATCACATTCCATCGAGTCTTTCGAACGGAATCAGAACCCGTCTTTTACACTTAACCGAAGCTATGGGAATTAATTGGAGAGAACAATCCTAGTCTTTGTATACAACAAAAGAAGTTTGTTCTACCTTTGTCTCTCCCTTGCTTCGTCTAGGTGAATTCGATTCAAAACCCTCCCACCCTTTCTTATTTTGTATCTCCTTCGTAATTTTATGAAATTCATTTAAACTCTGATCATCTGTCCACTTCACTTTTAGTATTACGTAACTTTCAAGATTCGATCTAGTTTATTTATTGAATTTTCAAGTATTGGTTTTGTAAGGATTTTGTTTGATTGCATGGAGGATTTAGTCATGAGCTGACATCAGTTAGAGAACCACTGGAAAACCTGGGAGTACTGGACAGCTGTTTTGTCCTAGTTTGGGACTCTTCAGCAGTACGCACCCACCGGGGTTCGAACCCAGGACCTTCCGGTTACAAGGCGAGCTCGTAGACCATTGAGCCACTGGGACCCGATCCAATGGTCCTTGAATTCTAACTTCTGCCAATTCACGACATAGCGCGACCACTTCGCAATGTCTTCTTCGATGAGTTACTGCCTCATCTTCAACCTGCTATACCCTACTGGTCACGGCTTCCACTAGAACCCCAGGTTAACTGCCTGAATATGGCCAGTCACTAGTGAGCACAGATTAATTTTCAAGTATTGGTTTTGTAGGGATTTTGTTTGATTGCATAGAGTTGAATTGTCTTGAATTGTCTTGTATTGAATTGTCAACATATACACACATATTATTGACACTTTTGTTATTCTTATCGCCACCTGCATAAACCTTATTATCAACATTTTGTTATCATTATAACCATCGTTATTAACTTCGTTCAAAACATTTGCCACATAATTATAATAATAATAATAGTAATTATTATTTGATCCACAAAATCACCGTCATTGGTTAAAATTTTTATACATATAATTCTATGTAAATTAGAGTAAAGCCTGAAGAAGATCTAATTGAAAACAGCAACTATTGTTCGCTTATATGTCTTGTTCTTATATTATAAATGGGGATATTTAAAGATTTTTTCAAATAATCCATAAATCTTGGTGTTTTAGGGTTGAATACTGACAGAACTCAGCTGTAATATGTCAAACATGGTATTCTGCGCACAACAGATAAAGAACAGAGAATGTGTAGATTTAATAAATTTTTAAAACTAATAATCCGTTGAATCATGGATACAGAAACCTAATTTCTATACACAGACGGATGCCATATGATTATTTAAGTGATGATAAAAGTAATCTGAAGTTGTTGTTGTTATTGTTGTTGTGCACAGTATAACAAGGAGAGCCATAAATATCCCAGCTACGTATAATTTCCTATAAAACGAGCAGGGATATATGTAGTGGGCGAATAAATTTACCTCCCTTTGATTTCCACCTTCTTGAGAGAATAGGGCAGGAGATGATCATTAATTAAAATTTTGAATTTGTTCAACTAGCTGGTGATTTGCATGATTTTGCAAGACTTTGTATTTCGTGTTCATGAAGAATATTATAATCGTTTCACTTGTAACATTTAATTATTGTAAAGGTGTTTTAACGATTTTTCTCACAGCCAGAGTTTCTATTGCGGCATTTGTTACATTATGCATGGAAATGCCTTCAGATTGCTCTTATCCTTGGTACTGTTTTAACGGACATAGTTATATTTTCAAGAATTAGTTTTTCGGAATTCTTGAAAATTAATCTGATGCTGGCTAATGACTGGATACAGGACGAAGTTGCCTGGAGTTCTAGTGAGAAGTTGTGACCAGTAGGGTCTATCTAGTCGGGAGTGAGGATGTTTACCCTAAAATCACGAATTGGTAGAAGTTAGAATTCATGGGCTAGCCATTGGGGAATTGGGTCCCAGTGGTTGAATGGTCTACGAGCTTGTCTTGTAACCGGAATTTTCTGGGTTCAAACCCTGGCACTGGGTGCGTACTGTCGATGAGTCCCAAACTAGGACGAAACAGTTCTTCATTACTCCCTGGTTGTCAATGGCTATCTAACTGATATCAGTCCATAGTCTAACCTGTGACATATGTATGCCTTTAGCCATGAATATTATACTTTCTTAGAAGGCAGATTGATCAAAAGTCTCATTGCGTAAGGAGGATTAAGCAAGGGTTGGTTACTTAATGTTTAGAAACACTTTCTAATAAGAAACTTGGTACTTCTATAAAATTTTACTTATCTGCATCATTATCATGCCTTTCTTTTCATAAATTTTGTTAACACTACTTCACTGTGGTGTTTTCTATGTGTCTAGACGTAACCTCAACTGGAACAATGTAGGTTTTACCATGGACAGTCATCAGGTACAGAAGCAATAGTAAATAAGAAGTATCGAACTGTTTCTATGCTTGGTTGGGGTGTGACGGGGAGCTATTCAGCACTGGACAGCTATATTCCCACAAAAAGACAAAATTCACAACTATCAGGAGAGAAGATGAACATGTCACTATTTTTTTTACTTCCCCCTACCACTAGGTGAGAATTCAATCCATTATGAAAATAGTCGGCAACTCGATTTGTTCCTAAGTTTTTGTTTGCAGGGATACAATTAGTTTTGATTTTGATCACCAGTTGACTTCATTTAGAGGACCGTCGGAAACCAGGGTGCACTGAACAGTTGTTTTGTTCTTATTTGGAACTACTAATCAGTGACGACAGATACTCATCAACGACATTACCTAGAAGTGGCGCTACATCGGGAATTGTCAGAAGTTAGAAATGATGGGCTGTTTGATTCCGTCTCATTGACTGAATGGCATAGGAGTTCACCTTGTAACCTGAAGGTATGAAGTCCAATCTATGGTGTGAAGCCATGGATGAGTACTGATGAAGAGTACCAAACAAGGATGAAACAGCTCGCCGGTACTCACTCACTGGCTTCCAACAGCTATCTAACTGAAGTTGATTCATGAATTCTATTGCATTAATTTCTACTTACCTTCATATGTAACTTTTCCATCACCATCTTGATCAGCTTCAGACAGCATTTCTTGTACATCTGAATCTAAATAATAAGAGGCAGGAATAAAAATGAAATCATTGATACTAAGTTCAATCTTTCATAGTAAGAAAAAGTATCAAGATAACAATTCTTTACAGTTCCCTAGCAGAACATGTGGCTTAAAGCTTGAACTCTGAAGTCTTATTTTAACGGTGGTGTTTACTTCTCTACCTGATGGAACTTCTAGCCTAACATCGAACCTCTCTCTTTGACTTGGCTTACTACAGTCTAGGTATGGTTAAAAAGTGCGTTGCCCGAGAACTGAGCACAACTCATGTGCATGGTTGGCTGACATCCTACCGCTAAACTCTAATTAACTTCTTCTGACAAACATAAGCAGCAAAATATAAACAAGTAGTGGTGGTAAGAAAATTCTAAGCCAGCGTCAAATCAAGATGGATTGTTTTACAAATTGAAGGCGTAGATCATCATTGGCCTAAGCATCCAACTCACGCTGACTGAGTCCTGGGTTTGAGTCCCGCTACACATATACTTCAACCTGATTAGCCCAGAAAAAGTTTGTGTGGTTCTGACTATGGCACATGGTAATTTTGTTAGGGTGAACTAGGCTTCAATAACCAACTGAGCATCAGGAACTCAAAACCAGACAATGAACAGCTGAAAACCAAGAAGCATTAAGTACTTGTTTTGTCACATTTAGGAAATTTAAATATTGAGATATAAACTTTCATGGGACTGTTAAAATTAATTACGTGTCAGTGTTTGCGTATCATTGACAGAAAGTAGTTGGAAGGGGGCGTCTATCGCGAATAAGTAGAAGTTAGAAATCGTAAATGTTTGGATTTTGACTGACTGGCTGAATAGTAAACACACCCACTTTATAAATTTAAGGTCCTCAGTTCGATTCCTGGTGTAACAACAGAAGACAAGGGCCAGGCAACAGATCGTTTTATTATGAAAATCAACACGTATTTATACATATTTCACATACATTATTATAGACAAGCGCAGTCATCTGATTGGTTGTTTATCAGAAGTTAGGCAGACAAACGCAGTCTTCTGATTGGTTGTTTCGGGATTCCTTGACAAAGAGAGTTCTCTATCTGCGAATCATATTTTGCCACGTTAACTTTGCTGTGATTGGTTGTTGACTCAGCCTTGTTCATATTTTCTCACGGCCCATATTAACGTAGCTTAGTGCCAACCAATCGGCTAGCAGCCTGCTCTCACCACACTAGTAGTGTTTTGGGTTTGTGATGCTTAAGTTTCTCAAACAGCTTACAATGTGTTTACTGATTTTCAATAGTTCTCTAAATGATGGACGAAATCTGCCTTGCTGAAAGTCACTCACATCATATAGTATCATACGCTTGTTGTTATTATTATTCCCTTGGGTTCTGAGTAGAACATTAGGCTTCAACAACACATCTCCACTTTTGCCTATTTTCTGTCGTTCTCTTCATCTGGGTCGACGACTGCCACGACATAATACCTCATCTCCTCTTCCAACTCACACCATCGCCTCCATGTCAACGTCGCTCAGACGCCACACTCATAATTTCCCAGTCGGATGCCACTCGAGCTTTGGCCTGACGCACGATGTCACTTGACGTTCTGCTCGACGTACACCCGATCCATCTCCAGTTTTTCCTACATATTTTCCGAGCAATCGGCTCTTGATTGGTTTGTTCCACTGAAGAGGTTCTTGTTGCTGATTCTTTCTGGCCGGTTGGCCATTTTGTCCTCAATATGGAGCCGGCGAAGTGGCTGACTGTTGATAAAAGTCTGTAACCTCCTGAAACACTTTTTGTGACATACAGTGCAAGTTCCTGACCGGTATAGAAGTACTGACTGACTTAACATTTGTGTTGAACTGAATCCGAATCTTGTTCTTTATGCTGCCTGGCTGAGTGAATTAGAATCAGATTTCCAGACTGGTTTCAGGTTGGTGAAGACGTATCTTGCCTTTCCGATTCTGACCAGCTCTGACATCTACATCTGTTATAACTGTAGGGAATTGAATGAAGACGTTTTCACCTTATTCTGTCTGCGCCTGAACTAATCTGTCTATCTGCTCGTCGTACCTTCCGATTTAGTAAAGCACGCAAATATCAAAAGACAAAGGCAGGACTGTGGCTGTGTATTGAAGTGCAACAACGATAAAGAAAGCCATGGTATTTATACATTTTACAACAATATGGACAGCTAACAGCATTTGAAATAATTGATCTTAATAGCCAATAACAAAGTGCGTGAGAGATGATAATATACCATATGTGCGAGGTTGACAGTCAGTAACAAAATGTGTGGGAATGATAATATACCATATATACAAAATTGACAGTCAATACCAAAATGTGTGAGAATGATAATATACCATACATACAAAATTAGCAGTCACTACCAAAATGCGTGAGAATGATAATATACAAAATTAGCAGTTAATACCAAAATGTGTGAGAATGATAACATACCATATATGCAAGATTAAACAGTCAATACCAAAATATATGGGATCCTATCAACATCCATGCTGTCCGACTGCCTGTGGTTGAGACGATACTTCTTAAGCAAATAAGGCAAGGAAGTAACCTCTGTAAAATCTCTCCCTTTGATGGTGATTGGTACTGGTTGCTGCTGCTGCTGTTGTTGTTGTTGTTGCAGTTTGTTGGTTATCTTCATCACCTCCATCTTCTCTATGTTCATTTGGAGTCCTGTCTTGGCTGCCCGCCTCTACTGCCAGTTTGTTCGCTTTCTTCCTTGTGACATTAGACATATATCATCCATGTGTGAAATTCAGATCTTCTAGAGCCATACACTTATGATAGCTAGCGAGAATTCGAGTGGTTTTAACTCTTTTAGACATCTGAGCCCAGTCTGGCCAGATACACATGTGATAAGCCTACATTAGAATGACAGAAACGACCGTCCCGTGTTTAGATCACTTCAGTCTGACTAGTTAGCACGAATTACTTTTTTCACGTGAATAGTTTCTAACTACTTAAATCAGTCAGTAGTTAACCTTGAACAAAGCAAAAACAACAATTGTACCAGGATAATATGAGCTCATCATTTTTTATTATTTCGAGGATTCTTCTCAACTGGTTACAACCTGAACGATAAAAGTTATGAATTACATTAAAGATTTGAACATACTTTTCCACGATTACAAGAAGTAATTAGTAGAAATCAAATGTAACATTAGTTCGGAATGATTTAACTGATTAGGAGTTACAAACACTGACTATTTATAGAATAATTAGACAATTAGGCTTGGAAACAAAAAAACAGGGTTGCGTATATATGTGTGTGGGTATAGAAACAAGGTTTAGCTAGAAAGAGCACAGCAAAAAGGGTAGATTAAGTAACTAAAGAAAACGTTTTATCTAATAGCCAATAGAAAAGAGGAAAAGAGTAAAATGTTCTAAACAAGAAAAAAGGTGACTCATAAAAGTTTTATATATTTTTTGTTATCACCAGGGCAGTGCAAGATTCACAACTGTCTCTTTCTGCGTACATAGATTTGGTTTAAGTCACTTGGTAGCAGTTGCTTCAGCAAAGCATAGCAAGCTAGGTTTCTTTTGCTTGTTGATTATTTTAAACGACTTCAGGTTGTCTACAATATGACCAGTGTCCAATAGATGACGCGCAATAGCACTGTTTAATGCTTGCGGACCTTTCAATCTCAGGTTCTTTGGTATGTGCTCATAAATGTGAACAATAACCCTTCTCTATCTGTTCTTCCAATGTATATGCTTTGGCACGTACATATAAATTGGTAGACACAGTTGGAGATAACATGAGGTGGGTATTTTTCCACTTTTGATTGTCTCAGACAACTAGTTGTTTGATAAGCACACATACAAGCTTGGCGGCTGGATATGTTCTTTTCAGGCAGCATTCAGTCTGCATCTTATTCTACTAGCAGTATTATCACCTTTGAATGCAAGCTGCAGAAAGATCGGCTTTTTATCTGTCTACTGTGCTGCTTTTCAATTTTTCAACATGACGTCTCCCATACTTGTCCATGAACTTTTGTGGGTAACCGTTTTCGCGTAGACATTATTTCTCCACAATGGATAGCTCTTCCTCAATCTTTTCTTTTGAACACAGTTTCCTCACACGATTAAATAATGTTCTCACCAATCCCTTTTTGTAACTAATAGGGCAGAAGCTTTTTAAGTTAAGATAAACCGCCCTCCAGGTCTCTTTTCTGTGTTATATATCTCATGATTTTGCCGTCTATATCTCGTTGGATACCCAAGTCAAGTAGTAAGTGTCATTCTCATGTATTCATGTGGATGGTTTTCAAAAAAAACAAATGTGTTGTGTGTAAAACTTTTCATTAAATCGATTTTTAAGAAACTAAGGGTTGTTATAAACTTACCAGTACAACTATGTCCAACTCTGTTCATTACCTGACGTAATTCAGTTGCAGTAATGTAACCATCATTATCCTATTAAATAAGATTTGAAAAAGAAACCAGATGAAAAGAAAGTACAGTTTTGGGGTAGCACGATATACTACTAGTCCGCATTAGTAGTTAGTAACTGGCCAAACAAATAGTTGTTCATAGATGTTAGTAATATTATGAGAGGCAGAAAAATATATAAAAGCTGACCTACTGACGTTCACCACAGCCTCTGTCAAATGGCTATAAAGGCTTGAGTTAGGTAGACTTTTGCAAAAGTTGATACCATTTAGAGAAGTATTGAAAACTAGGGAGCACTAGACACGTGTTTCGTTGTAGTTTGAAGCTCCTGAGCAATGCGCCGTCATAAAAAATACGAGAAAAGTGTCTAGTACTTCCTGATTCTCAGTGGTTCTTTAAGTAGTTCTAGTTCTTGACCAGATATATACCTTGAAATCAGTTAAATCCCTGAAAACCCAACACTTGAAGACCTGAAATATTTCCATTGTGAGATCATAGGTGAACACTGCCAAAAAGTCTAGAAGTAAGATAGATAAAATAAGTCTCCGGCGCTCTTCGCTTCTTGAGTGGTCAATAGATGATATCAGTTCCATCCCCAAAACCTAATACTTTTCACACGTCTACTGTTAACCAGCATTTTGGGAGCCGGGAAAGGAATGATTTTCTAGATAATAGTCAATATTATGTAAAAATAATCGTTTCTAACACATGAGAATGAGTACTTTTCAGGAACCGAATTGTGGTTCTGTTATGATCATGCTTAGATTATCACTTTTTGGATAATTCCTCTAAATGATAAGTTATTGGATACCCTTTGATTTTCTTATGGGCTATAGCAAAACAAAAGGTATATGCCTAGAAGAGATTTCTACTGACAGAATCCTCACTTCTTATATCACATTACAATGTACGGTAGTGTTACAACACGCTTTGGCCCATTCAGAGAGACGATTTATACTTCAGAGACTATTCTGTGGATGCATTTTCAGAGAATTCATGCATGTATTCCCTTTCATAAATTTGAATAAAGCGAGAACAACAGTGGCGGTTTGTATAGAATAATATGGTACCATTATTGTTTATTTCGTCAGCTTCTCATCAACTGCTGCTTACAGCCTAAATAAATTATGAGGTTTAAGTACAGAAAAGTTTTAACATATTTGCGAATTTTACACGATGTCTGTCAGTTGACAGAAAGTTCCACAATTAATGAACATTGCTCAGAAAATTGCACTTATATAGTTTTTACACAGTCAGTTCAAGTTTAAACAAAGCGAATGTATGCATGCATACAATGGTAAAGGAGCTACGTAATAAAGACGAGAGATGCATAAGATGATGAGTGACGAATAAATTAGGTAACTGAGTCAACGTACTGAGTTCAACTCAAATCATAGAAACAAGAGACAAGTAAAATTATAAATTATAAAAGGAGTGTGAGGTTAAAGACAAAGATTACGTAATCAAATAAACGAGAGAATAAAGACTTCAGTCACCAGGCAGCAGGGAGAGGAAAAACTACTAACCGCTTCTTTTGAACACATAAATCGAGCACCTTTGCCTACGGATAGTTTTAAAGGATTTTGTGATTTCCACCTCATGACGCGTATCGATGAGATGTCTGGTAATAGCAGCTGATGAGAAGCCAACGAAATAAACAATGATGGTACCATATTATTCTGCACAAACTGCCACTGTTTTCCTTGCTCTATTCAGATGTATTTTCACTTATTCGGTAAACATAGTCTTTAAAAACTGTCTACTGTACATATTTTCAGTTAGAATTCTACTGAATTGTATAATGGTGTGTAGGCCATCTGATTTTACCCCACCTAAGATATGCTTCATTCTATTGCAATATGAGGTTTACACGCTCTTTCCTTTGTATGTATTTTCTATAGTTTGGTTCGTAAGGGTTAGTTATGTTTTTACGAGTTGATCATGGATTGATATCAGTTAGAGAACCATCGAAAACCAGTATTGGAGTACTGGACAGCTGTTGTTGCATCCTAGTCTGGGAATCATCACCAGTACGCACACACCCCCAAGGTTCGAACCAGGACCTTCCGGTTACAAGGCAGGCTAGCTCGTATACCATTCAGCCACTGGGACCCGATTCAATGGCCAACGCATGAATTATAACTTGTACCAATTCGTGATTTAGCGCAACCCCCCCCCCGCAAAAGAAACTATGAAAATTAATCTGATGCTCGCTAGTGACTTGCTACAGGATGGGCTTTCCTGGAGTTCTAGTGAGAAGTCGTGACCAGTGAGGTCCAATTAGATGTCACGTGTGTAGATGGATGTCCCGCCAACGACAGTGGTTGAGGTGGCGCTAAATCACGAATTGGTACAAGTTATAATTCATGCGATGGCCATTGAATCGGGTACCAGTGGCTGAATGGTATACTAACTAGCCTGCCTTGTAACCGGAAGGTCCTGGGTTCGAACCTCGGTGGTCGGTGCGTTCTGGCGATGATTCCCAGACTAGGATGAAACAACAGCTGTCCAGTAATCCCGGCTGGTTTTCAATGGTTCTTTAACTGATATGTATTTTTTGTTTTTAAGGATCGTCTCACACCGCAAAATATATATATCAAACTGTATCTGTTTACTGACGAGGCTGTCTAGGGTGATAATGAAAGGTAAATGGTTAAAATTAACGCTCATTTTAAAGCAGAAAGCATCTGGGTTATTTCAAATAGCACACACACACACACGTAGATGTTTACGTAAACATGTCATATACACAAATCGATAATTTACCGTATCGAATACTTCAAAGGCTTCACGTGTTGCTGAGACTTCTTCTTGAACATCACTTTCATTTGATAAAAGACGAACAAACTCGTCGAAAGCCATTTCACCATCGCCTTTAAGCATTGAATTAAAGAGGGGAAACAACAAAATAAATTTATGTGAAGGTGAAATAATAACTTGTTGAACTGAAATTCTACCTGTTTTTGGGAGAAGTTACAAATTTTATATATGTATATATATATATATATATATATATATATATAAGTAGAGAACGGATAAAGAATTTCATCTGGAAGAAAAACAGTCATGCTAACAAGTTCAAATAGTATTCGTTAACTATCATCAGGAAGGGAAGAAAGAAGGGAATTGCAACAAGTTCGCCATTGATGACTACAATTCTTGGCCATATCCGATAACGTTTCGAGCCATCGATTTGAGCTATTTCGTGGACCTCAACCAGGGAGTCGTGACGCACCAACCGGTGCTAATCTAGCACAAAAATCCTTCATCCTACAACGCTACATCATGGACTGACCACCTCTCTCCCTTTTTATCCCGTCCCAGGGCTAGCGAACATAGGCCTGTATGGAAGCCTCTGAGATGGCATTCTCAACACATGTTCAAGCAACCGGAACCGGTGTTTCCAGATGACAACACTCAATGAATGGTGATCTCCACTGTGTTCAAACACACGCCGCCGAACCTCAGAATTACTCACGCGATGATGCCATCGAACGCAAGTAATCCTGCAGAGACAGCGGTGTTGGAACACGCAGAGCCGCCGCCACACATCCTCAGCTCGGAGAGGCCAGGTTTCACAGGCGTAGAGCAAGACAGCCCTCACCGAAGCATTGTATATAATCTGAACTTTAAAGAAACAGCCGCAAAGAAATGACAGAATAACCTTCAGTGAGAAAACAACCAATCAGAAGACGCTGTTTCTCTGTTAATAATAACGAATAATAATGTACATAAAAATATATAAATATCTGTTGATTTTCTCAATAAACAATCTGTTGCCTGGTCGTTGTCTTCTGTCGTTACACAATGATATGGATATGCCTGTGAAGCCATTTGTTCCAGTAGCAAAAACAAGAAATGACCTGTAACAATAACAGAATTCATTTCTGATGAGTGACTGACACTTAAAAAAGGCTTGTCGAAGATTAAAATGTTTGTGGGTTAGTTATACAAGCATTAAATGAGGAAGGATGTTAACTTATCAATGAAATTTTTAGACTTGAAAACCTTTATTCCTTTATTGTCCTCAAAATGGTTAACGGTCAGTTTACACGTTCACCAATTCTATTAGTCAATGGAGACATTGTAGTGTGTAGGTCATGCGACCTGCATAACCAATCATTTTACTGCGATGATAACACGACTATTAAAAGTAACCAATTATATACAAGGTCATAAGGAAAGACCGAAAATTGTTTGTAGGATTCTTGTTTGTTAATTTGACAATATACCTACACTATTGACTTACCATTCATATCAGCCTTATTCATTAATAATTTGATTTGATTATCTGTATACTCGGAACTGACAAGACGTATTAATGTACTGAACTCTTGTCTGCTCACTGTACCATCATTGTCTCGGTCAATAAATCGGAAGATTTCTCGTAGTTCTGTAGTAAAAAGTAGATATAAGATAATATAATAAACGTGTTGAAAATTAGACTGCAAAAAACCCTTTTTGTTGTTGTCAATGTTATTTTTGAAATCTGGGCGAATTCAAAGTACCATAGCTAAAGTCAAGGTTTTCAACAATTGACCTTCAAGAACCTATCAGATAAAGGGAATGCTACGGAATGTCATTCCAAATCAAATCACGCCTGCCTTTTGAACATGGAGAGGGTAGATACAGTATTCTACACATTTACTACGTACTTCTTCTGCAAATCTATATTGTTAGTTAGGGTTATGGCTTTTAAGATTAAGGTTTAGGATCTTGCGTTAAGGTTAGGATTAGGAGTTACGATTATGGCTAGAGTTAAGAGTAGGTTAGAGAATAATATAATATGTTTCGCAATAGAGGGCTAGGTCTCCTGTTCTCACCACTAATGGGTTCTGAAGATTCCATTTGTTTCTGGAACCATTTAAGAATATACTCTGAAGGTAGCCCTTACTTTCAGAGATCGATGAGTCCTCCCTATGTATGTGTGTCACACGGACATTCAAATTGGTAAATGCAGTGGATGTGACATTATTTTTCACATGTTCAAAGGGCTTAGATGGATATATTGGCTTCATATTCTCTACTATTATGATATTAGCTGCATAAAAAGTCTTTCAACTGCAGTGTTCAATCTTTGTCTAGTTGTCAAGCTGCTATGATGCCCATATAGGGTAGCCTGATGTACACGTCTTTCTTAGGGGTAAATTGTAGAGTGGGTCTTGGTGTTCTGACCACTTTATATCACCTGATGAACTTATCTGGATAATTGTTATCAACCGGAGTTGAAACACTTGATAAGGTAGAAAGAATGTTGACACAAACTATGGTAGATGTACTGTTGCCTTTTTATTTGGTTTAGTGATCTCCATTGTTATTTCGACCCTCAATATGTCCTTTTAAATTGACCTAAATTTATTTCTCGCCTCTTAACTCTTTATTAATTTCATATATATACAGTCCTATACAAGTCTGTGTGTGATTAGATTGTTCGAAATGTGTTGCTCAGATACACATTACACGATTCAGACAAATTACGTCTTCTTATTGCTTTGTCTAAATCCTCTCCTCCTCCTCTAATTTACTTGGATTAGCACTGACAGAAGGAGACTTAACTGGGAACTAGTATAATGATAAACGAACTAATGTCATTCATTCACATGATAGGTGATCACTATCTGTTTTGATTATAATGAAATGATGACGTGATTAGTTCAGCTGCGTTTCAAAACACTCAACTGGCAGTGTCAAAATAGTAATTTTGAGGCTGTTGCTTAGAATCCTACCTCATGACGCAGATTTACCTGCTTAAGTATCAATTTCTCCCTGTGGCTAAATGTTCTACGAGCTCGCCTAGTGACCGGAAGTTTCTCGACTCAGACTCCAGTGGGTGGGTACTTATGAAGGGTGTCAAACCAGGACGAAGCAAACTGTTCATTACTCCCTGTTTTCTAATGGTTCTCTGACTGATGTCAAACCGTGGTTAAACTGGAAAAATAAACACGTTTGTGTATTCTACATAGAATTCAATTGATAATTCACACTACTTGAAAACATTTGAGTAATATACACAAAATATGAAAAAAATAGCTTACCACTAATCCTTTTTCTGCTTACATGACAATCTCTCTATTAAATAAATAAAATAAAAAAGAAATAAACCCATAATTCAATAAATGAATAAATAAACAGAATAATTTTGGTGTAATTCAGTCTTGGAAAGTCAAGAAAAAAGGTAATTCCAGATTAGAAGTAGTTAAGTTTTTAAGACGGTAGTGGAGTACGAACGCACTGATGTCCATAGATGGAATAATCACGTTCCTTTTCGATTAAAGTCGAATACTTACGTGAAAAATTCACCATCAGTGGGGCATTCCGGCACTGTTTGTAAATGGGATCGATTGCTAATAGAAGAATTTGTTCTTATTGAAGAATTATGAGCATTCTCGTCTCAGTTGTCCAGTGATACCAGTACATGAAAAAAATGGAGAGATTAAGTACCTTATTGAGGGGAGATGTCATCGCATATAAAACTGAAACAGTGCTGATGACAGTGAAAATACAACGTGGTTGTGAAAGATACAATGACGTTTGGATGCTTGGATTATATGATACCAAACTGAGGAAAGGATTTATCCAAAGAATTCCTGACAGGAACTCCACTACCATTGTTACCAGTCTGATAAAAGAAGACTGTAATACGCACAGATGAATAGCGCGGGTATTATACTTTGTTTCTGCATGAAGTTTACCATTTCATCGATTTTGTGGACTCCAGTACAGGTACCCACACCAATTCAACTGAAGGATTTTCAGGAAGTTTAGAAAAATAGAACCGCAAAACAGTGTAATTCACAGCCAGTTTGATTTGATTTTTCTCTTGATACCCTAATGAGAAACTGGGAGATATTTTTGTTATATTTGAGAAAAAAGACGCCCAGCGTAACACTTTCATGTCTTTATTATTCACCATTTTCATAAACATTGCTATTTTTTCATCTAAAATATGCCGTTTTCATACGGTTGGTGCATTTCTAGGTTTTTAAGCGCTAAAAGTTTAACTAAATCCATCAGTGAATTCAAGCAACAGTGATCTGAGTTGATGGGAGACAGATGACTATTGTAAAAGTTGTGGTGGTGTGATGCAGACAATGGGTTCCAACGGAATACTATTCTCACAGTAAGAATCATTCTATTTGTTGATGTTAACGAGTGAATACTATTCCCACAGTTTAATACTGCATTAGCAACAGAATACTATGCACGTATTTGAACATTCTATTTCATGTCATTTAATGTAAACCAAAATCACATACTCAGTGATTGGTTAAAGAGTATAAACTGTATACTTCATGCAACTATGTATACAAATTTACGTGTATCTGCGGAAGCAGTTACATTGGGAGAACAGAAAGAAGAAAGGCACACCTCCAATTCTCTGAACACGTACCGAAAAGCCTACGTCTCAAGGGAACAAACTCTTATAATAGCGCTATTACCAGACATCTTCTCGACACGGGTCATAAGGTGGAAGTCGCGGAATCCTTCAAAATTATCAATAGACAAAGGAGTTCGATTCTCCTCAAGTTTGCCGAAGCAATATCTATCAGACGCTTGAAATCAGATTTATGTGTTCAGAAAGAAGCAGTTATTAGTTTTTCCTTGCTCTGCCACCTGGTAACTGAAAGTCTTTATTCTCTCATTTGATTACGTATCTTTGTCTTTAACCTCACGCTGCTTTTATAATTTATAATTTTGCTTGTCTCTTGTTTCTATGATTTGAGTTGAACTCAGTACGCTGACTGAGTTACCTAATTTATTCGTCATTCATCATCTTGTACATCTCTCGTCTTTATTACGTAACTGCTTTGCCATTGTATGCATGCATACATTCACTTTGTTTAAACTTGAACTGACTGTGTAAAAACTATATAAGTGCAATTTCTCAGCACTGTTCATTAATTGTGGAACTTTCTGTCAGCTGACAGACATCGTGCAAAATTCGCAAGTATGTTAAAACTTTTCTGTACATAAACCTCATAATTTATTTAGGCTGTAAGCAGCAGTTGATGAAAGCCAACGAAATAAATGGTGGTACAATATTAATCTTCACAAACCGCCACCATTTTTGTTCTTGCTTTATTCAAATAAACTCTATAGATATAAAAGCGTTCGATCAGTTGAAAATGTACCCTGGCTTCCATATCTTACCTTTTGCTGTTACAAAAGAAGAAATCTTAAACTGTTGCTTTGTTTTTCAGAAGTATTATGTTTGTTGTCACAAAAATCGAAGACTTACAAGCGAAAACTGACCGAAAAACTGGTCGAGAAAGCAGCAAAGACAAGACTCCAGGTGAACATAGACAAGACGGAGGTTATGAAAATAACCAACCAACAACAGCAACATCCAGCGTCAATCACCATCAACGGGAGGGATTCAAAGAGGTTACTTCATTCATTCACTTATCTAGGGAGCATTGTCTCAACTACAGCCAGTCGGAACGGACGACGATGTCAAATCGAGCGAGAATCGGGAAGGCGAGAAACAAATTCATCAACCTGAAACCAATCTGGTAATCTTAGTCACTCAGCCACCATCAACAACAAAATTCGGTCGGATTTTCAATACAAACAACGTCAAGTCAGTCAGTTCTTCTATACGGATCAGAAACTTAGCGGGCGGGGGGTCACAAAGAATATTTCCAACAACCTGTTGCAGACCTTTATCAACCAACAACTGTCTTCGCTGGCTCTATACTGAAGATCAGACGGCCGGGCCGGAAAGAATCACCAACAATAAACTATAGGAATAAACAAAACAAGAACCAATCAGTCGCCCTACAAATATGCAGGAGAAGTGGAAATGAATCGGACACTCGCTGAGAGACCGTTGGGTGACATCGCTCGTCAAGCCCTCGAGTGGAACCCGAAAGAAAGGCGGCGAGTGGGTCGTCAGTGCAAGGATGACATGGGGGAGATCGTGTGAAGAGTAGTTGAAACAGTATGGACTAACATGGATGCAGGTGAAAAGTACAGCAGAAGACAGAAGCAAGTGGAGATGTGGAGTTGAAGCCCTATGTTCCAGCAATAATAATAATAATTAAGGGTCAAAATCGAGATTTACAAGTATAAGTGGTTTGGTAGTTAATTTAAAGATAGAGACGACAGGTAAAGAGTATTGGATTACCAAGGCGAATTTAATGTATTTAGAGTTTGAAAATTTTTAATAGCTAGCTCTTTAGCCAAACTTAAGTACATAACTAAAACATGTTTTAGATACGAGTTTAAAAGAATTACAGGTGTTGGATATGGAGAGATTTTGATTGACTTTAGCGTAGATTACGTCACCAACCGACGTCAGATAGATAATCATTGAAAATTGATGAATACTCTACGGTTGTTTTGTCCTAGTTTGCTACTCTTCAGAATATGCACCCACGTATTAAATGAAAAAGCTGTCCAATGCTCTGTGGTTTTATTAGTTCCCTAAATGGCTTTAGTTCAGGACTTAATATATACGTAGAAATTTTAAAGATGTATTCGAAATCAGCTTTATAACACTTCTCCATGTTGTGCTTTGTAGTACATGGCGTAAGACATCTATTTTGTGGATCATTCGAGTTAAGTGATTTGTAATAGTTTTTGTAATGTGTTTTCAAACTGTAAGCTGCAGAGATCTAGCTGGTGTTCCTCACTCAATGTGCTGTTCTTTCTCCTTTTCTGTTTTCCTTCTTCTTACATGACCTACTTGCCCTATTCTTTACTGACAAAGCTAATTTTGTTAGGTATGCCTATGATCTGACTGTTTCTATGCCGGAGGTTACTTCTCAGTCAAACTATTCCAAAATGAGTAACTTTTTGATAGTGTAATTTGTTTTCCTTCACGTTCCCCAGTGGAACATAGGGCTTCAAGCTGGTAGCTAGAAGTTTCTGTAGAAGTGTTTATTTTACAGGATGGAGTTGTTAGCCTCTTGCCTAGCCTTTCCTCCTTACTAGCATTACTTCTGGCTCAGCGAGGTAAAGGAGTGCGTCGGCCGGGGGTCGAACCCAGGACCATGTGCATGGTCGGCGAGCACCCTAACCGCTATACCACCGACGCACATGATAGTGTAAAATATTCCCATATTATGAATTATAAGTCAATCTGAACGAAGAATATTTTTTCCAATAATTTCTCCTCTTCAGGTTCTTACAATTATAAAATACAATATTTGTGGTCGTTACAATAAAGGCCAGTTATATTATGCGGCGGATACTGTCTGTCTGTCTGTTTTCAACATAGAACTTTGCACAAATGTGTGGAAGTTCAAATCGCCACACTCCGTGTAGCACGCGAAGCAAGAGAAGAAAGTACAAGAAAAGCATAATAGAGACAGTGAGCACAGGTGCGAGACAAAGGAGTAATAAAGAAATACAAAACAGTTTCATTGGAGATCATAAATCACAGGGAGTGGATGCATCTGCGCCACTGAGAACGGTTTTGAGCCATGTCACCAATTGTTTCCAACCATAGATTTTTACCGTCCCGAGGACCCCAACCAGTAAGCCAGTCTACACCTTCCTACGTGACTGGCTTAGACCAACTGTTGTGGATTTCATTTGACTGGTGCCAAGTTTTTGTTTGACCGCCGCTAGCTTTTTTCCAGCCTGACCCTATATCCGCTAACATAGCTCGTCGAGGGAGGCGATGACTTGGGATACGCAACACATGTCCTAACCATCTCAGTCTTTAGAACTTCACGACTTCGTCGATTGATTTCCCCTGTTTCCTAGCACTGGACGCCTAACCTCCATGTTGCTCACTTTATTATTCCACTTTACACAGGAAATAGAGCGCAGGCAACGGATAAATTTTAACATAGAATAACAGATTAGTTATAGGGTGTAAAAACAAATAGTCGTGTTGTGTGACAAACGTGCTAGTTGGCTGAAATCGATTAGAAAATATTGTAAAACGGGAGACAATGGTGGTGATTAATCATAATAGACTTGTATGTGGGGTGCGTCGGAGGGATATCAGTTAGTGTAAAATTAAAAATGAACACTGTACAGAAACTTCAAGCCACTAGCTTGGGGCTGTTCCACTAGAAGGAAAAATCATCAGTACGTAGAGTGTGGGGTAGGAAAAT